GGGTGGCACAACACACAGGAGAGAGGGCAACAGCAGCGGCAAGTGGTGGCTGCCTGGGGCAGCTGTTAACCACCAGCCTTGGGGCACAGCACCAGCCTGAGCTCGACCCAGGGAGGACCACCTCTAGCACAGCTCTGGCCTTCACATGCACGCACGCAAGCTCCATGAGCCCCCCTGCCAGAAAATGCCCGACACCCACAACAGGAAGAAATGTATGTGATTTTCCACTGCTCAGTGTCATGGCAGCACTTTGGAAGACCAGCCCCACGCAGAGACAGCCCAAGGCTCGCGATGACTCCGTGGAGCGGCCACGGCCATGCACACAACATCCTGTCCAAATCCTAAAGGCAAAAAAGAATAAAAATCTCACTGCCTGTTGAGGCAGCCTTAATATGTTTGTCTCCAGCAGTCTCTGTATGAGTGGAGGAGCCAGCCCCTCTGTTACCGAGAGCTCTGCCTAACACACACATAGGTAAGTGGCTGTAGGTTTCCAGATGTTACCGAAGTTCAGCCATGCTCACTTTGCAAAGAGGCTTTGCATCCCATTTAATACCAGTTTACCACCACAGCATCTCTCAACACCCGGTTCCTTCCCAAGCCACAGGCAACACTCTGAGAACTACGAGCGCAGGGCAGATGGCTACACCTCTAGTAGCCTTCAGGTCCTGCAAGTAATTGAGCAACCAGCAACAAAGGCAAGTAATAAAGTTACTCTTGGCCTAAACCTTAACTCAGTATAGTTGCAGCAAGTGACACGGCCACAGCAGAACTTGTCACTTTATTTTCTAGCTGGCATACCAATTAGCTACTGGTAACTTGTGTATGCTCCTAAACTTTCTGAAGCAAGACCTAGACAAATTTCCATATGAATTTTAACAGTTTTAAACAGAGGAAACAATTTAAACAGAGAAAATTTAAATTAAATTTAATGACTTGCTGGGAGTTCCCTTTATTATGCAAAAAGAAAATCCTTTAACACCCAATTCACTTTTTGCTGCTGGCTCTTAATGACTTCTTTATTGCTTGGACATGATAAAGCAGCTGGGTCAATCATTCTTCTACATTTTCATACCTTCAAGAACCTAACATTTATTTCCATACAAAATCATTTAATAGAAGAGTGTTCAGTCATCTTGGGGAAAAAAAAAAAAATCTAAGTTTTGGGCTTGATTTTTTGAGAGTTTCCTTTTAGTCAACAAGAGAGTTAGGATTCTTCTTCAGCTGCTTAGGTCATCTCTGACCCTCACTGGAGCAGGAGTTCAGAAATAACAGATATATTGAAAAAGAGGCAGCATAATCTAGTATTTGAGACCTGATAAATTCCCTTCTCAACAGATGACAGCGTTCAAGATTATATGGCTTGATTTATAGCTATCCAACACCCATACACATCCATACACACACACACACACACTGCATGGGACCACAATTCAGTCGTAACGGCATCGTTTCAAGCCTCCTGACCTCAGCCTGCTTTCTCTCGTGCTCCCACCCAAACGTGAGTAAGGAAACTTTGACCGTGTTAGTCTAGAAAGAATTACAGAGGCAATAAGCAAGACCCGGTGGCAGGATCCATTTCCCTTCTCATTCTGTAATGTTTGCATCAGCTCAGCTCTTTTTCTGTCCCACATATTTCAGGGAAAGCCTCCTAAAAACAACCCTGAGATAAATATAACAAGATAAAACAAACTAAGTGAAGGCCCCTTCTCCATTTATTTCTCAGCGAAAGTGCTTATCCTTGGTCCTGGGGATTTGGTAGATGGCAGCACCTCTCCTATAGTTTAATCTCAAGGATGCTGTGTAATCCAGTGCCCCTCAGATTAATCTAGCCATCGCTGCACTTAAGGAGGCCGACCTACTTACAGATCGCCTGCTGCTGCAGAATGCCAGCTGAAGTTTTTTAATTTGAGTGTCAGAGAACAAGCTGAGAGCATGAACTGAAACTTTTACTCTCCAGTTTACACTGATCAGTACTTCTCTGCGGTTGCAGTTCTGCTGATCTGTAACGTACACACAAAGCCCAGCACCATCCTATGTGTTTGCAAGATGCTGTTAATTCGTTTCCTTCCTCCATGGGTCAAAAATCTTTTCAAAGTGACTCCATGAGGAGAATGACAAGGTTGAAGCAGTGAGGTAGGCAGGACTCCATCCACAAGCAGCTCCTACACCAGCATGGCAACTAGAGCCCAAATTTTACCTTTCCTAAGCGAGGGTCTAATCAGTAGGCTGAAGTGGGGAAGCATGTAGATTCTCACTGCTTTCTGCCCCCCTGTCCTTAGCATTGTCCGCTGACCATCTTAGTCTCCCTGCTTTCCCCTCTGCTCTGCACTGGGCTTTGTGGACCCTCGGTCTTCACTTTGGTGCTCAGGGAATGTCAGTACCTCGTGGTGGATCCCCCTCGGTGGCAAGGCAGAGCCTCAAATATTCAGCCAGGCAACTCCCTGGCCATTTGGTGACCCAGTGTTTTCATACAGCCTTGTCCCAAGCAATACCATGACCAGTCACTCAGATATTGCCCTTTGGGTCAGGAAAACTGTCCCAAACACCCTATCCACCCATCTTCCCAAACTAGGTTGACCAACACTAGATAGTGTTTGTTGGAACAGTAGCATTATGGGTTTGAACTCCAAATTCAGACTTGAATCACCTCAAATTTGTTTGCAGCTTAAATATTTGCTCAAAATTATTTTTCTGCATTCAGATTTAGAAAGTAAAAAAAGGAAGAAGAGATTAAACCTACCCATTACTGCTTCCAGGTTTCTACAGCTGCTTCCACCCACACCTCAGAAAAGAGTTGGCACAGTACAGCAACTGACCTGCATTCACTGAATTTAAAGGCCAAGGACTGGTTACTGAAAAATACCTTCAGTTGTTTTCAGCCCAAAATTCCATTCCCAGAAGACCTGGAGATTTAAAATGAAACCCGGGAGTGAATAAAGGCAGCCTGCTGGCTGGCATGATGTTCCTCCTTGTTAGGCTTATTAGTTTGACTAAGTGCTATGTTGAGACAGCTACACTTAATTCTAGCTTCAAAAGAAACTAATCTCTGCTAGTCACATGGTCTCCATGGCCACTGTGGCTAGCAGGCTTTGTTTCCAGCAGTCTTCTGATGCAGAAGTGGAAGTTACAGTAATGCATTAGGTGTGGGCACAGTTTTAAGTGCACCACAAATATCTCACCTGTGCTCTAGGGCATCTTCTCTGGGTCACAAACAACAGTGTTAAGCAACCTACACATACTTGTTTTCTGGACTGCCTTCATTTTCATTAGAGTCTGTCCCACAAGGATGCACATGGTCCTGCTAAACATGATTTGTTTTAACCCAAGTGAAGCAACTATGTGGGTATGCTCTGACCTTCTGTCACATTTTTGAACGACAAAAATAAGTCTTCCATCAGCCAGAAGATGAAAGAAAGGGAGTACTGTTTGGAGGAACATGGCTCATGGGCTTATTCTCTGGTACCTCAAACCTGGTGGCCTTTCACTGGTGGGTCTTTTTCAAGCAAGAAAAGTCTCTTTTCTTCAAGACCTGGCTGAAGCAAGGTAGTACCCATGACATTTTAGGTAGTCTACTCACAGGATACTGTGACCACACAGCTGACATTCTTCTTCACTTTCTTTAGAGAAATCAGCTTGCGGCTCAATTAAGAAGATTAACCTGCATGGCCCTGAAAAGGCCAGATGTGGACAGCTGATCCTCTTCCATCTCTGATAGTGGCTGAAACCAGCCAACCAGGAGCTTCTCTTCCTTTAATAGGAAGAACACGTACTTAATAATCAAGCATCAGGACTGTGGATATTAGGTGGATTAAATGGTTTAGTGGGTTAAGGCAGAAGGTGCTATTGAATTAGGGCATCCCTACTCCATAGCATTTAATATATTAACATCCTTTCGGGTACTGTATTGGGAGGCTCGGTACAAAGATTTCCTTTCTCTGATGCCAGTTGCAAGTCTGCACAATTCTTCCTTTGATGGCTCAAGTGATTAGGTGTTAACAAGAGGAACCTAGGCACTTAACACTAGGGAGTTTTAGCACCAGGTTCACACCCCCCTCCCTCTCCCTACTCAGCTAAGGGATTTTTCTCATTCCCCACTAATGTTAACAGCAGGTACTTAAAGCAATTAGACATTATCGCCTCTCTGGTCTTTATTACTTCCTAGCTTCGTATCAGCTACTTTGTTCGCAATAAAAGAGCTGAATTAACAGGACTGGTGCAGACTATTCTGCTTCATTTCTTTATTCTGTATGAAAACACTGGGTCATGGAGCCACATGGAGAGGCTGTGAGCTGCAGTGCTTTAGACCGTTGCTGCCAATTGCCATGGTATTTTACAAGGGGAAAAACCACAGGTCGTAAAAGAACAGACATAGGGAGATCATAGAGGAGGTGATGTGGGGAATATGGGTGGACCATAGGGACATAAAGGTTGGAAGGATTTCACAAGTCCAGCAGAACAGCTTGCAGCTGTGCCTATGCTGTGAATTAGCTGCCACAGAGACCTGCAAGTTGCACAGGCAGCCTAGGGAAACGGGTATGATGTGTTGCTCCTGTGAAAATAAAGCCCCGTGTCTACTGAGCAGCTCTTGCTTGCCTGGGAATAACTGTTGTAATCTCTTCATCTAGGGATTGCAACACACTCCTGTGAGCTCTACGTTTGTTGTTCAAAAAGAGGCTTTCCCATATTTGCCCAGCCAGGTAAAAGCTTGCCCTTTTTCTTCTCTCTCTACCTAAACTCTCCATTAACCCTTAGCTTTAGCACAGGACCTCAGAGAATGATATATTTTCCTCCTATCCTCCCTCCCCCAGTATTTCTAAGCCTCACTTCCCAAGAGGGAATGGACAAGAGCTTTGAGCTCTTAAATCCTGCTGTCGGTTCTTGCCTGAAAGAGGTAAGTAGGGAAACTGAAGGAAAGCTGAAGAAAGGAGCCTGTCCCTTGTCAGCGTTCACCTGTAATGGACGCAAAATGTGGGGTTATCACCAAAACTAGACCCAGGAACAGAAACGAAGAGGGTACTTACACAGTTTCATCATTCTTGAACTCCAACTCCCCATAAGTGTCTTCAAAGTCTTCTCCACCTCCTTTCGCTGTCCCTTCTACTGTCCTAAATGGCACTATGACTGTACCCCGAGCACCTGATGTCCTTAGGACTTTGACTTCCATCACACCAATGCTCTCACTGACATGTATAACATCACACTCAAATGTGAAGATGCCAGCATGGTCATCATCCAATATAGTCACTGTGGCCACACAAGGAGAAGCCAATATGGCCTTTGGGTATGGGGAGTTATTGAGCTCTGGAGGTTCCTCACCCTCCACCACACGGAGGTTACTGAGCCGCACAAAGAAATGCTCATCTTCCTCAAAGATGTCATCATCAATAATTCCCACAGAGAATTCCTTCTGGGTCTCCCCTGATTTCAAGACAACAGTCCCCTCTGTGAACTCATAGTCAGCACCAGCATTGGCAGAGCCATCCTCTGTTTTATAGTCCACATAGATGGTCTTGGACATGTCCCCTCCTTTCCGCACCACTGTCAGGAGAACAGCGCCACAGTTCTCAAGACACTGGTAAGAGCACGGGTCAAAATAAATTTTGGAGATGAATTCCTCAGGTTCATCTGGCCGTACCTCATGCAAGCTAGTGCTCTTCTTGGCTTGCTCAGCTGCATGCTTCTTCAGAATATTGCCAGCTCCTGTCATCATTCTGGTAGCTTGAATGCGATAAAAGGCTCTGCTCTTTTGCTGATGAGACAAGGCATAGTAGTTAGCCATCTCTACCAGCTGGTCCAAGTCCTTTTCTGGGTGCTTTTGCTTCAGGTCCTTAAGGATTCGGATCATCTCTTTGCGAGATTCATCTACCTCCTTCCCTTCCACAGTCACTAAGTTTCCATCCAGAAAGTGGGAGTTCATCATCTTGCCATCCATCTCAATCCCCTTAGGGTGATCACCTTCTGATTCTATGATAATGCCCCTGTGCTTGTCAGTACGGTACTTTTTGTGCATGTACTTATAGAAAAGCAGACGTCTGTCTGCTATCCAAGCCAGAAGGACACAAAGGGGAAAGAAGAAAAGTGTGAGCAGACCTTCCCAGACCTGGACCACACCTGGAGAGAAGACAGCAAGGATCATGTACAACCAGATGTAAGCAAAGATGCTCCATGCAGCTGTGACAAAGAAAACCCTCAGGTGTTTTATCTTTCTGGTTTCCCCATCAGGGATCACATAGACACAGATGGCAATGATGATAAACATATTGAAAGCAGCACTGCCAACAATTGTAGATGGCCCCAGGTCTCCAGCTATGAATCCATGCCCACAGACTTCTATCAGAGACAGAAGGATCTCAGGAGCAGAGGAGCCCAGAGCCATGAGGGTCAAGTTGGAAACGGTTTCATTCCAAATACGAATGGTGGTTGTTGTGGTCTCTCCATTGGGTTTCTTAATCGTGATTTCTTTTTCTTGCGATGTAATGACCTCTATAGATGCCATGAAACGATCTGCAATGATGGAGACTCCAAGGAACATGTAGATCAGTGCTACAAAGTATACGATAACACGGGCAATTTTGTCCCCAAGGGATGGGTTTTCTGGGTACCATATTGGCAGGATAACACCTTCCTTGCAGTCAAAAGATCCTGAACACGAGCTGTTTTGTACTGAACTGGTTGAGTCTCCCGTCAGGCCAGCATCCACCTGCAAACCATGCAAAAACAGCACAAAAGTAACCAGCCCAAAATGGAGGAAGGCTGAGGTGACAGGCTGCAAGCTTAACCACGCCATACACAAGATGCAACTTCCACTGTGTCGATCCAAAAAGGCCGAGAACCTGAAACAAACAAAACAGAGAGGGGGGAGGGAAGCATGAGAGAAAAGGAAGATGCAACATTTACCCAAACGCACTTCAGTACCTCACCACTGAAGAGTACTGGTAGAGATGAAGGGGTTGTCTCTCTGTCACTCTGAAGAGGTATTTAGCAGGGACTCTAACAAACTGCAGCATTTACATGCCCAGCAGATGAAGATCAATTGCTAGAAAAGTAACTCAGAGGAGAAGTGTACATATATAATAGCACACTCTTGACCTACAACATGTGCAACAGGAGTACTGAGTGCTCAGCTGCCACTCACCTAATGATGCCATGGTGTTCCCCAGCACACAGCACTCTTGCAACTCAGTGCAAGAAACCAAATCTACAGGCTTCCCTGTCTCACCACTCAGGAAATAAGACAAGTCAAGGAATCATAGGGACACAAGAATCACCATTAAAGGCCAGTGAGCAATCTCCAAATGAAGTCCATTTGTTGGACTTCAGTTATGAATTATGGAGTACCTTTGTGGCCAAACCATCCCCACAGCCAGGCCCTCCTAACAGGCTGCTGAGTTTCCAGAAGGGTCCTAGGGCTCCCCTAAGCTTCTGAGGCAGAGGGCCTCCACGTTAGGAGGTAAAGATGTCAGCCCAGAAATAGGGCAGAGGATTCATGTGCTCAGCAAAGCACCAAAGGCCATTTTTCACCAGCCTTTCCATTGTGATTTGGACAACCACATTTTACATCCATAATCCTGCTTTTAAATGATCACAGAAACCTACAAAATCACCACAGTTAGAAAAATCTGTGCTCATGAACCCAGAAGATAGAGCAAAATCCATGTATCCACCAACATTCCCTTTGCATCCCTAAGAAATTGATATATTTTCAAATACCCTCTAAAACGAAACTAATCTCTAACCTAAAATACCATACAAAAACAAAGGAGCTGATCGATGTATCACTTAGATTTGGCATATCACTGCCCAATAATGCCTTCTATCACTTATGAACTACATCGCTGTAGGGCTTGCACCACTTAAAATTGGATTCTGAACCCTTCACATTGTCATGGATCACACTATTCTCCTTCTTTTATAACAGGCCACTGGAAGAATTTGCTCTCAGACTTAGCTGACAAATCACATTTGTGAGTCCAGACACAGCCAAGTATCTCACAGGAAACATCAAACTTAATAGCAGCATTATCTACAGTACTTGAAAGGTTCAAGAGCCTTAACTCCCAGTAACTTTCATTGAGGTTTGTACTGCCAAATCAGTAGGGCTGGGATTCATTTCCCCCACCGTAACTATCTAAATCTTGGGCAGTAAGTTAAATGAAGTCACTTAGGCTCCCTTCGTAGTCAGATGAAAGAGACGGTCGCTTCCAGAGGACAATCCTTCCTGTCCCGCCTTGTTCTGACCCAAAAGATGTATTTAAGACACACAGCCCCAGAAGGGATTTTGTCCCTTCTTATCTCTCTCCATGGTCTACAGAGGGTGCCCACACAGCCAATTTAGAGCGGATGCCTAACCTTCAGATGATGGCAGTTTGAAGAGATAAACTGAACGCTTGAGGAGGCACCTTCCCTCTCCCTTGCACTGTAAATATTGCAGGCAACATTTTAATGTTATCAGCATTAACAAATGCATCTCAAATGGCTATTTTATCATCATGTTGTGTCACTCGCCTCTTTCCAAAAGCGGGTGCAATCTTCCCGGTATCAACAAAAACGTTTTCAACTTTCAGATAAAAATCTATAAAGCCAAGCAAAACAGGAAGGAAAGCGTGAACAAGGACTGCAAATGAACAAAACTGCTCCTGACAAAGCACAGCAGAGGGGAGAGAATTGATTATGCAGTACCAGGATCACAAATCCATATCTGACACCCTTGATATGAAAAACCAATACACTTCTTCATGCTACCTGGACTAATTTAGAAGAGACAGATTCTCCCACATTAGCCTACTTATCTTCTCTCTCCAGTGCCCACTTATCTGCCTGTCTATGCCAGCCCCGGTGCCCGACTGAGCCCCCGGGGATCAGAGGGACCTGCTAGCCAGCTCCAGTCCCAGCCCCAGCCTTTGAAGTCTCCTTAAAATGCCTCGCTGCCTGCTTAGCTCAGGGTGACAAGGGGAGACTGAGCAACCCAGCACATGCAACCTGGGTTCGGTTTGATACTCCCATTGCATCTTTCCTCCCACTTCGCATGGTATTTTACCAGCTCTCTGGCTTGCAGGATGTTGGGAAATCCCTGAGAAAGGGCCAGTGAACATGTGCAGAGGGACTACGAGCAGCAAGACCAAGATGTCTGGGCTCCAAGGTAGATGTGTGCATGTGCACAGTAAAGATGACACGTTCCAGGTGCCTCTGACTCAAGGTGCACACAGAGACCACCAACTGCAGAAGCACAGCAGCTCCAAAAACACCCTGGGCACATCAGATCATCCCCTTCTGTACTGCAATTGCTGGCAGGCATCCACCAACCTCTTGACGCTTCCAGCTCCCAGCTCCTACTTAACTGTACAGCAGCCAGTCGGTGCTGTGTCTTCCAAGATCAGCCATGTAGAAATGGCTGACAGAAAGACAAGAGTAATTTCAAAAACATCTACGTGACTCAAGAACCTAAATTTGGTTTAAAAAATGACCTAAGAGTCTAAGTATCACTTAAATTCAGAGCCTTGTCTAGGAATAGTACAATGACTAAACTGCCCTCTGAAATAAATCAGTGCTACCACCAACCTCTCCCTCTGTGGGACAACCACCTTCTGTAATTAACACTATCTGTCTACCTCCTGTAATGCTGTGATGGTTTCTATTGCTAGCCATTCCTCAATAGACTCCAGGACCTTGCCAGTCCTTAAATTTTTAATTTGATTTTAAGCAGAGAGTAATTTTATTATTATTCCTCAAAGTAATCGTATATTATTTCAAAAACAACCTCTAGCAGGGTAGCCTCTGTTCAGACCTCCAAACTCAGGCTACAGATTGTAGACTAAAAACTCAGAATTCGGGAATACTTTTTTTCACTGGTTTTCACATGCTTTGACAAACATTTTAATGTTAAGTGGAGGTCGCAATCATTTTCTAAAATGATACAGTAATGACCTGATCCAGCAATTCTTTGACACAGACAAAACTCACCAGTGGGATCAACAGGAACTTTGCCCACAGACACACTGTCTAGTAAGATCTTAATATGTGTTCATTAACATGAAAAGCATTAACCTAATCAATCTGACAGTGAAGCATTCTTACTGTCACCCCCCTTTAGGAACTGGTGCAAAAGTACTTTACAACATAGAATAAAACTACTAAATTTTAAAACGGCTGTTAATAAAACATTGAGGTAACAGTTTTAACATTCAGATGACAGAGGACAGAAGAGAAGGAGAACTCAGAAGAACTCACTCTGTAGCTCTAGGTCAGCAAGGTTGCTTATACCAAGGCACAAGTTTGCCCTTGGAGATCTCTACTAAACTCAGTCCAGAAATCACTGGAAGGGATCTACGTAGCTCTGGCATATCCAGAGTGAAGTAGACACGTCCTCTATCCCTCCTCTGAGTAGCAGCACTGATCTCAGCAGGGCTAACTGTGACAAGAGCCACCCTTCAGCGTGGATCCTGCTCCGAGGATCGAGCCTCCAGGCGGGCTGGCAGCACAGTCCTGAGTCACCACTAGGCACCCAGGAGGCGTCACGGTGTCACTCCTCCGACACCAGTGCAACAAAACACATCCACACCTGGCGCAGAAAGGTGTCATTCCAGCAACATCACTCATTCCAGCAACGTCACTGCCCTGGCCCTGCGGGATGCAAACAACAGGAGGGTGCAGCAACAGTGAAAAGTCAGCTGGTATGGGGTGATCTTCGGCTTTATCCCATCAGGATCATGATTTCCGCTACCTCTTTGCTATCAGACATCATCTTCTCCCACAGGTCTCTGCCCTACTACTCCTTTCACATTGAATACATGCAAATAAGGGCAGTGGTACGGAGTGAAGTGGCCCCTATCTGGTAGGATAAGTTCGAAGCATACAATCAGTGCAAAAGACAGACAAAAAGCTGAAAGCATCCATGCAACAGGATGAGCTAGTGTTCAATAGCAACACTCTGGGAAGATGCAAAACAGTTATTTTAGCAGGGGGAACTCCTTCTTCTGCAAGAGTTGACAATGGCCACGTGATCCACAAATCCATAAATAGAACCCGTAAATAAAAAGATCAGTTCTTGAAATACTGCTGGAGACAGTCCAGAAAGTAGCATGGACCATGCTTGTCTCAATTAAACCTGCAATAGAAAATGACTTTTAGACAACTATCAAGCTCTTTACGTCTTTTATAATAGCTGAGTTTCAGAGGGGTGATGGTTTGTCTGCTCTGGACCTATAGAGAGGTAGGAAGCTGGGACAGCTCTACTGATCCCTCATAATTCAGCTTTTTCTGTACAGCTGCTCACATGACTCTAATGGCAAGGATGCTTTCAAAAGGAAGCATTCACAACAAGAAATCAAATCAAGAGGCAGGATAACACAGTAACGGCTGCTAGCATGTAACCTCCACATACCAAGTTCCCAAGATGACCGCTCAGTAAACACAAAACCAACAGCAAACCTCTAAGTCCCTATTCATTTCTTATTTAGGTAAAATTCCCCTTAAACCTTCGTAAAAACTAGAACCTTTGGATCTGTCCTGCAAATAAGATTAGGTTGTCTGGCACCTCCCTCTCCTTCCCCTCTCCCTCCCACACCCCAAATAAATCAGACACACGGAGTACATCTGTGGCCATATATCCTTTCTCCCCCGACTCTAGACTGGCCAGGAAAGGCTGCTGATTAGATCTGAGCGTGGGGTGAGCCCCGTTCTGGCATGGGCGCTGCTCTCGGGCCAGATGGAGACATCTCAAGATAAAGGGTTTTGTCTACTCGACAAGCATCTGTCCCGAACAGAGTGGATACAGTGCTACTATTAGTGTCATTTTATAGCC